GACTCCCTTTTTCCATGCAGAATCCATGCTGGATATTTAAAACCTCTGGATTTCTACTTGCCCTTTGAACCTTGTGTTCTGGCACACAATGGTGAGTCAGTGTTGGACCTGTCCAGGTCCATCTCCAAGCAAAGGCTAATGCTATGTGTTTCCCTTGGTTTCTGTGGGGGATTTAAGGGGATCCGATAATAACGCCTTTTACATGCTACATTTCAAAAGCCACTGAAGAGAGAGAGAAGTCAGGTAGTCGGAGATCATAACATCAGCTTTGTTATGAATCAAACCTAGATTGGGAGATGTGTCACAGCAATGAGTTTTCTCAAACTGGGCACCATGATTAGGGACCTCACCGCTGGCAGGCAGGGCCTGCTCTCACAACGCCTACACCTGGAGCACCAGCTTAGGGGCCTCCTTTCTGCCCCTGGGCTGGCTCCAGAGAGACAGGCAGGCAGAGCCCATACCTTATAGGCTGTGCTTCTTCTCCAGAAACATCTAAGAGCTTACCTCTCATGGGAGGGAGGAGGATACAACAAGAAACCAGGAGTGTCAGGCTGACTGATGTCCCTCTCCTGGAAGGAGACACTGGGAACTGGGAATGAATGTCCCCACCCAAATTTCCCTTCCTGCCCTTTGCTTCCAATTCTCATCCCCCAGAGGAAGCCCAGACTCTATTCCACAGCTAAGTGGCCGCTACTCTTGCTGCTGCCCCCTACCTTGAATTCTGCCTCCTGCTCTGGGTAATAAAACCTTTGGCTCAGCTCAGACTCATCCCGCAACAGGAAACCCTGCACTAATGCTGCTCTTGGTGAAGCTGACAAAAATGGTTACCTCCGTGGTCCAGTAGGGACCAACATCTCTGCTGGCCCAAATCTTCCTCTGCTGCTGACTGGTCCAGGCTTGGGATAATCTGAGCTGTCCCCGGGGGAGTGGAAATGTCCCACGTCGTGAAAAGGCCTCCAGTATTACACACTTCCTTCAAGTTCCAGCTGGATCTTTCGAAGCTCAACCTGCTTCTTAGGTTCTTCCTGGTCTTCTACGTGTGGTCTATGCTGTTCCTGAGAGCAGAGCATCTTCTATCTTTTCTACCCTTCACATCTTGACTACTAGGCCAAAACCTTGTTCTTAAACAGATTTCTTTTGATTTCATAAGCCTTTTTTCTTCACATACTAGATTTCCAGGATTTTAAAAGTGAAGATACTTTCCATTACAAGTCAGCAGATACCTTGACTCAAATTGGCTTGGAAGTGAGAAGACATTTGTAATGGGAAACCTAGCCGTGGGACACAGGTTTCAGGGTTAGTTGATTCAGTGGCCCAATGATGCCATCAGTCATCTGGGTACTTGTCATCTTTCTGCTCTGATGCCTCAGCACCAGCTCCAACCCACAGCTGTTGGTTCCTCTCGTGGTTATAAGATGGTTGCCAGTGGCAGCTGGGTGACATCCTGCCTTGTTTAGAGCCAAGTGGAGCAAAAGACTGGTTGGTTTTAGACAAAAGCTGTAGGCAAACTTCTAGCAACTCATCGGTCCACACTGGCTTAGTCCTGACCATCCATGAACCGGTGACTGGAAAGGTAGAGGAATGGATTACCACCACTGGTGTGGACGGGTGGTCTGGAGCAGAGGAGTTTTGGGGAGCCAATCTGAATGTCCTCTTTCTTTGAGCTGAGTACTCCCAACATAGATCTGTCCATCTCCTTAACATGTAGGCTTGTATGAATTCTACTGAGATTTCCTTTACCTCAACCGAGAATTGATATCTCTCCTATAGCTTATGAACCCTCATTCCTTATTATCTGTCTGCTAATAAATCCACCACATTGTTATGACTAAAGCCACAATCAGTGCTCTGCAGCTCACCACCATAGTCAGCCCTCTTCATGGCACATGGCACATGGCACATGGTTCCATTAATGGAGGAGGGAAGATGGGGCTTGAGATAAGCTTCACCTTCGCTCTTTGAATTTGGCTGGAGTTCCAACGAAGATAAAGGCAAATACAAGTGGAGACAGGTAATACTGACTGTCCACCCATTCCCAGCTTGAATAACCTGAAGACCAAAGAGATGTGTGTTTCTCAGTGTGGGGTCTACCGACCACAGCCTCAGAGCCATGGTCCCACCAAATCTCTCAGACCCTAGTTTTATGTCCTGCCCCCTGTCTCTTTTTATTTTCATTCCAGTTTACATTTAACGTCTACTTATGCATTTTAAGTATTTTAAAGACACTTTAGGGCGCCTGGGTGGCTTAGTCAGTTAAGCATCAGCCTTCGGCTCAGGTCATGATCCCGGGGTCCCGGGTTCGAGTCCCGCATCGGGCTCCCCGCTCCGCGGGGAGTCTGCTTCTCCCTCTGCCCCTCACCCCACTGGAGCTTGCTCTCCCTCTCAAATAAATAAATAAACAAATAAATAAAATCTTAAAAAAAGATTGTTTACAAAAATAAAGACATTTTAAATACTTTGTCGAATGATGGCAGAGTGTAAATGGAAAAAATCTTTGTGCCCATATTGCATTGTCTTAATTACTGTAACTTTAGAGCAAGTTAAACATTGTTATTCTTTTTCAAGCTTATCTTGGCTAAGCTTGGCCTTTGGCATTTCCATTTATGTTTTAAAATCACTTTGTCAATTTCCACAACAAGCTTACTTGAAACCAGCATTTTATTGAGCTCTCTCTACTCCTCAGAAATCTATTCCAGCAGATTTTCTCTTTGACGCGAACATCACAGACAGGGAGGTTATGACCAGCATTCCTCTTGATTCCCCCCCTATAAGTGATGGATGAAAGGAAGGCTCCTTCTCTGGAACAGGCCACCACAGAGTGAGCTGGGGTCAGGAGCAGAGCGGGCCCAGGCAGGTTTTGTTGGGGCAGCTAACCAGTAACAGCCCCAGAGTTATAATGAATTCATTCTCTTACCAAAAACAAGAAAAAAGTAGTATGACTCCTCAGTAGTGTCCCTCAGTAGTGACACTCAGAGTTCAAATATGAGAAGGGGATCAGAAAACAGTTAAAAAGGCCACCTCCAGGGTGGTAGTTGGGGGAGGAGCAAGCCCTGTCCCCCCACCACCCCGAGCGTGCGCCGACCTGCTGCACAGTTACTACAGGAGGTGGAGTCCTCAGCCAAGCACCAGCACCAGCCCAAGCTCTATGGGTAGTACCAACTCTCGCCATGGTTGGGGACACCCTGTCCCTGAGGGTCAGGAGGCTCCAGAACCTTATGTTCTCCCTGGGGTTGGAGACCATCCATAAAACTTCTGAAGACACCCCTCAAGCCTGTCTGGTTGTAGGGGAAGGCCAAGCTATGCAGGGCCATGATGGGGAGCTCAGCGATGGGGGACAACATCAATCTCAATTCCATCTCATCCCTTTGAAGACCAGCCACGGAGCCATGTTGCCGGGTTGTCACCATGAGAGGACTTTCAATGGATGTAAACCTTGAGATCGATCATTCTGAGACCTCCCCTGGTTCTAGGACATGCTCATACAGAGAAGCGTCCAAAGACATTTCTTCTCTTGCATTGGTGGTGCCGGTGTTGATGGTGGCAGTGTCCAGAGCACTGGAGCGAGGAAGCCTATTGTCTGCCTCTACTTGCATTTTATTGAAATTATATTGGATCTGTAGGTTAATTGGGAAGAATTTACATTTTAACACTATTTAGTCTTCAAATCCATAAACATGGTATACTTTTGCATTTATTTTGGCTTTCTTTCTTTCTTTTTTTTTTTTAAGATTTTATTTATTTATTTGACAGAGAGAGACACAGCAAGAGAGGGAACACAAGCACGGGGAGTGGGAGAGGGAGAAGCAGGCTTCCTGCTGAGCAGGGAGCCCGATGCGGGGCTGGATCCCAGGACCCTGGGATCATGACCTGAGCCGAAGGCAGCCGCTTAACCGACTGAGCCACCCAGGTGCCCCTATTTTGGCTTTCTTTAAATTCTCTCAGCGAATGTTTTGTGATTTTCAGTGTAGTGTTACTTACACATCTTTTGTTGGTTTTGTCTTTATTATTGATGGTTTTCAATGCTTTTAGAAATGATACTGTTTTCTACTTGTGTTTCAACTTGTTTGCTGCAAGTATATAGAAATACAATTTATTTTTGCGTATTGATCTTGAGTCTAGTTACCTTGTTCAATTACTAATTCATTCCAAAATTTGTCTATACATTCTTTTAGATTTTCTGAGTACACAATCAGCTGCAAATAATAGTGGTTCTATTTCTTCCCTATTAGGTTTAAAAATTGATTTTCTCACCTTATTGCATTGGCTAAAATTTCCAGTAAATGTTAAATAGAAATGGTGACAGTGCACATTTCATCTTATTCTCAAATTAAGTGAGAAAGTACTTAATATTTCACCTTTCAGTATGATGTTAGACATAGTTGTTGGTTTTTAACTTTTTGGATTTCTTATGGTGTATACCCTTTATTAGATTAAGAACGTTACTTTCTTCTTTTAGCTTTCTGAGAGTTAAAAAAATGAAAAGACGTTGAATTTTATCAAGTGCTTTTTCTGGGTCTATTGAATGTATTATATGGTTTTCTTCTTTAATTTGTCAAAGTGGTGATACACACTCCTTGAGTTTTAAACGTTAAAGAATTCTTCCATTCCCACATTAAGTCCTGCTTAGTCATGATGTATTATCTTTTTTATCTGTTGCTGGATTTGATTTGCTAATGTTCTGCAGGGATATATTTTTCCATCTGTGTCCATGAGAGATAGTGACCTGTGCTTTCATTTTTGTAGTGTCTTTCTCAGGTTTTTTGTATCAAGATTATGAGTCCTACTCTAGCAAGTTGGACTGTGTTCCTGTTTTCTTTTTCACTGACAGGATCTATGTAAGATTGGTAATAGCTTCCTTTAAATGTATGTTTTAAAGAACTCACAAAGGGAGCATCTGGGCCTAGACTTTTCTGTTTGCTTGGTTTTTGTTTGCTTTTGTTGGTTGGGAAGGGCATCTTTCGATCTCGATGTTCATTCTCTTGTCGTATTTTTTTCTTTAGGATGTTTTCAATGGTCCAGAACGAGAAGATTTCTCATGAGGCTCTTTTGAATCACTTCAAGCAAAATAAGGTGGAGATAGCAAACGCAATAACAAAGCCATTTCCTTTCCTTGAAAGCCTCAGGGACCGCTCCTTTATCACGGAAAAAATCTATAAAGTACGTGAAATTTATCATATCCTCCCGTGATAACCCAGGCCCACACTAATTATGTGTGGCAACCTGGATTCAGAATTTAGTGTATCGCTAACTGGCTGGTGGCCTTTCTATACTTTTCATGGAAAGACCGTTTTAAGTGAGTTAATCCTCCTATAAGGTTGAGGGTGACAGGACAGGCAGTCATTGCTAATGATGCTTCTGTCTTAATTGAAGCCCCTGTCTTCTGTGGGACATGTTGCAGTAAGGTGGATGGGAACAGGGATATGGCTGAATTGAAACTGATAGCTTCTTTTTATATAAAACCTATAGCAATTTATACAATATAACAAAACTAAATAAAATTAAAATAATTAAGAGAATTGAGGCAGTATTCCATTATAAAATCCACTATGTCAAATGAAATCCCCAGGGATTTTGTGCTATTTTAAATCAATTTGTTCTGTAAGTCTATCTACACTGGGAAAGTGGAATGAATGTTCTATGTGGTCACTTCCTAGTGATTAACTTTGAAACTATTATTTTAGATTCTTTTCCTACTGCACTTTTTTTTTTTTTTAAAAGGATTCTCAAGAAGCCCATAGAAACTTGGTTCCGGTAGAGAAAGTGGTATATAATATTCTCTGCTACCTTGAGAAGACTTTTGATAGGTCACTCCTACAAGTCCTGTTCAGCAGGGTTCATCTGAAGGAGTATCCCGATTTAATTCCTGTTCATAGACTCTTCGAAAATGGTAATCAGTACCCTCCCCTCCCTTTTGGGGTCCAGGTCTGCTTCTCATTTATCCATTCACTCATTTCGTGGTTTAACAACTATTCATGAAATGTTTATCCTGTCCCAGGACCTGTGCTTGTCAGTGTGAATGAGTCACTGTTAATAAAAACCAATATGTTCTCTGGTCTCATCATCAAAATCATCAGTCAGATGATTACTCTGCTAGGGCCTCATGTAGGTTTAATTACAGCCCTTTTTCTTCTTCTGGAAATGTGTGATTTATTCTGTGTCACATGTGCCTGATAAAGAGGAAGGGTTCCTGGACAGGTTGTGACATTTTTCTAAGATGACCAGATTGTCACTGATTCCCACAGAAAACCTTATCTGAGACAGTCTGACAAAAAGTTAGCTCTCCAAACAAAAAATCGAGAAGTCACAAGAGCCCCCACCGCCACCACCCCCCGCCAGCCTAGAAGGAGGGCCAGCGTGTGGAAAGGCATGAGAGTAAGGAAGGCTGATTCTGATGTGATGATCACAGACAAATTGTGCACTTCTGACACCCTCAACTGAGGAGCTGGAATTTTATTTTCATAAAAACAGGGAAGTCACACCAATTCTTAAGCAAGGGAAAAGTCAAAAGAAGCGAAAATAAAGTAGGGAGTGCATGAATTTGTGAAAATAGTACAATGATTAAAATAAGAACAATATAATTTCTTTTTTTTTTAAAGATTTATTTATTTTAGAGAGAGAAAGAGAGAGTGTGCAGGGGGGAGGAGTAGAGGGAGAGGGAGAGAGAAACTCAAGCAGACTCTGTGCTGAGTGAGGAGCCCGCTGCTGGGCTTGATCCCACCACGAGATCACGACCTGAGCGGAAACCCAGAGTGAGACACTCGACCCACTGAGCCACACAGGCATCCCTGAGCAATATAATTTCTATACTAATACCTGCGTTAAAGAAAGGAATAGAGAGAATCAAATATCTGGGCACAAATTTCAAGTCAATGATTTTTAAAAAGCTTCATTGAGATAAATTTACGTACCTTAGGTCAATATATTTGTAACCAGGATGTCCCGGGCCATGGGAACAGAGGGAATGGCGGTTACCTGTCCTGCCCACACCTCAGGGGCTCTAATTCTCTCCATGGACTGCAGCGAATCCCCCTTCCAGGTTCAGTGTCCACATCACCTGTGTTAGGTTCCGGGGCTCCCTGAGCTGGGGTGACCTGCACCTACACTCACTGCCGCCCACCTGCCCCTGGGGAGATGGCAGCTGTTGCCTCCCAGACACTGTTGTCCATGGGAGCTGTGGGTCAGTGACCCAAAGCCAAGAATCTAGGGGCTGTGGTCTGGGGTGCACACCCTCTCCTGCTGCTCAGTGCCTACCTTCATCCCATGCTCAGAGCCCCCTGAGCCCCCATGGGACCACATACACACACAGGCCCCCTTCACTTTTTCCTTTGTTCTCCTTGTATCTTCCACCTGGTTTTGCCAGGGTCTGAGGCCAGGTCCCGTGCAACTCACCCCTGCGGGCCCAGCCCCAGGAGGAGCTCCCTCCATGGGCCCTGGAGCAGCAGGTTCCCTACCTCCATGGTGTCCCCTCCTCCCTGGACTCCCCACAGACACCACCTCCCCACCCCTCCAGGTTTCATGGTTTATTTCCTTCCTCCCGTGTGTGCTGGGTCACCTACAGGCAGGGGCGCTGGGCTGGTATTCCTCCCTCCCCTGACTGGGGGCCTCCCCACCCCTGAGGCAGGCCTGTGGGGTGGTCCTCCAGCACAGCTATCTGTGCTCCCTGCTCAGAGCTGCAGAGTGTCCTTCCGTTGTTCCTGGGATCTGGGCCCCTGGGAGGTCAGTCTTGTTCCTCCAGGTGTCCTCTGCTTTGTCTCTTTGGGAAGCGCTCACCCTCCCTGCCCCAACCCTCCTCTGGTCTAGCAGCATCTTTAGAGCAGATGGGCTTTCTCTTTCATACCCATGGATCTCTCTGTGAGCCTAGCTCTTGTCCCGAAGAATTCCCACGCTCGTTGCCTATAAGATTTGCGTGCGCATGTTTTTCTCTTCGATGTCCCAGGGAAAGGAACAAATGACAGCAAGTTAGGAGCCACTGAGATGAACTGACACAGGGTCCCGAAGTCCCCACTAAGTACCTGGATTCTTGGGCGGTCCAGATGTGTAACTAGGAGGTGGTGTCCCTGATTGTTTGCTTGCAACCACTAATTAATATTTTTCTCTGTTCAGTAATTGAAGACAAGTATTTTCCCCAGAAAAGTGATAGCAAAGAGACACAAAAGACACCCAACACTGGGCCAAGCTGTGAACAAGGTAATTATGATAGAAAACAAACTTTGCTTCCTGGTTACAAAGAGGTCAGAACTCAGAAAGTTCAACTGTGATGCTGGAGAGGGAATCCAAGAGGACATGGGGCAGACGGATGTGTGTGACTTTGTATTGATTCCAAAATGACATGACTCTGTTTGAATCCAAGACAAAAGGTGGCAAAGAGAGACTTTCTGCCCAATAACCTGGAGGCTGGAATAAGAATCTAAATGTGAATTATGAGTTTCCAGAGGTGACCTTCAGTGTGAAGCAACTAAGGGCTAAGAACTCTGGGCCCATGATCAATATCAAGAGGAGATCCTTGATGATGGCGGAAGGGACTGATTTCAAGGTGGGGGATGTTGTTCAAGAGCCCAGACATTCAAGGAGAAAACCAGTCACACACAGAGAGAAAAGAGGAAGTGGTAGAAAGATGGAAGGGAGGATGTGGGTACTTAGAGAGAGAGGGAGGGAAATGAAAGACAGGGAAGAAAGGGTTGCAAGACACAGTAGAAATAGCTGCATTATTAACATCTCACTGGTTGAACATTTGCAGGGGCAGTTGTAAGTTTAGTGCTCAGGCTGCCGTTGCTTTTATGCCCATTTTGCAGGTAAGGAAACTGAAATCTGGAGACAGCGTGTGTGTAGTTGGCCTGGGGTCAGATGAGCAAGGGTGAACCCAGGCATTCTGAACTCAGAGCCTGTTTGTGTGTGTCTTAATGGAGGTAAAATTCACATAACATAAAATTAACCACTTTAAACAATTTAGTGATATTTGGTGCATTCACAATGTTGTGCAACTATCACCTCTATCTACTTTCAAAACGTATCGATCACCTCAAAAGGCAACCCCATTTCACTCCCCACCCCCCACCTCCCACGGCCAGGAGCCACTGGTATAACTAAAAAGTGTATCTTTTCATTTCTGTGTGTTGAGTGGAGGAAATCAGAAAGTCGGAGAGAAGAGGAATGGAGCCTGACGTGGAAGGTGGGAAGATGTAGAGGAAGAGAGCTGGGCAGGAAGGTGGAGGCAGCAGGGACTGAGCAGAGAGGGTGGCTGGAGGGAAGAGAGATGGAAACACAAGGACATGGAAGACAATGGAATCCAGGATGCAGAAATATTTTCCTAGGATAGAAGCAGCAATGCCTGGAGGTTGGATCCTGGTGGAAAATGGCAGGAGAGAGAGAGGGAATTAGGTCTAAGGTGATGGAAAGAGGCAGAACAGGGCTTGGTTGCATTTTGGGTGGAGACTTGGAGCAGGAGGAGTATTTCTGCACAAGGAGCAGCTAACCTTTGTCTCCAACCTCAGAGCTCAGTGTCTACGAACTACTCCTTAGTAGTCACTGGCTCTGGTCTCTCCTTTCCTTTTCTCTCTCTTTAGTGCCCGATGAATCCAAAGTTTTAAGAATGAAGGAGAGGAAGTCAGAGAAGGTGTGTGGCCTGCTGGACAATGGACAAGGTAACTATGACTGAATCCCAGGTTTTAAATGACCAGTTTCCTGGATAGCTCATTATGTGGGGGGGAGGAGAGGCCCTACACTCGAGCCCAGCCTCTGGCTCCTTTCCAAGGTGTGAGGGAGGCCCGCATGTGGGGTGAGACCCGCAGGGCCTAGGGGGTGAAATTTAAAGAGAACCCAAGTGTAGGCGCCTCCTTAAATTAGGCTCCTTAGGCCTCTTGCGTGCTTCACCCTAGCCCTGACCTGGAGGCAAGAGGGAAAGGGGAGCTGAAGTCTTTCCTGGAGGACAAGTATAGACAGGTGGATGGATTGGGCCATCCAATGGGAGTTATAGGAGCAAGCACAGTTTTACCTAAATGGACATGCGATCCCAAATTCTCCCATTTGGTAGACATTTGGCAGGGAGATAGCTTTATCCTACTTGCCAGAAGGTGTCACAGGAACATGGAAATAATGGGCGGGATGGTCAGATTTGCCAGTAAGTGGGATCACTGGAGGAGATACTAGAGGTAGAGGTGGGGAAGAGGCCTTGAGGATGGGTCAAAACCCAGTGAGAGACTTGGAGTGATGAGGGATGCCACATTTGAGATGAGGACAACGTGCGTGACAAGTACCGGGAGCCTAGAGGCAGGCAGAGGGTCCAGGCAAGCCCGACAGAAACAGAGACAGAGGAGAACAATTTACACCAGGGATAGTGACAAAGATCATACGGAGAGAGAAACAGGGGACCAAGCAAATGCTGATAAAAGACGAGGTAGGGGAAGGACAAAACAAAACCCTGAAGACAGAGCGTTCAGTGGGAGGGAATAGAATGTTGCTGGAGGGAGAGAGGAGACGCGGTGGGATGTTTAGCGTCAAGGGCAGGTCACAGCACAGCAGCTTCTGCCGCAGGCAGTTGTCCCTGCTAACGGTAAATTTTCAGAACTCTGAATGCTGTACCCATATGTTGGCAAACGTTACATTACTGATGTATTTGTACGGAAGGTTCTAGGAAAACAGTTCTAAGAAGTGTATTTATGTGCACATGCACTAAGCCACCTTTGAAAAGGACACAAGAATAAACACAGAATTCAGCCAAGATGATTTCCAGTGAGTGAATGAGAGTAGCAGGTTAAGAGAAAAGAGGAAAAACAAAAAGGTAGATTTCAGGGTAAAGAGGAAGACCCTGGAGAGCTGGAAAGAGGACATTGAGGTCCTGACACAGAGAGAGGCAGGAGGCGAGCAGGCAAGAGGCAAATACGGGGTGGGGGGGGGAACCCTCTCAGGTGGAGTGGGGAGAGAAGAGACAGCTGAGGGTTCTTTCTGGATTGTTATATATTCCAGGGGCAGAGCTCTCCAGGTACGAACTTCTAGTACAGTCTTGTGCCAGGCAGCTGGTGGATATACAGAAGACAATTGCATCTTGTCACCTCAAAATTAACCAAGAAGGCCAGTCGGCAGGAACAGCATATGTCCAAGTACCTGAAATAATCAGTAAGGCTGGTGGAAGGAGTCTGATGTGGTGACACCGTGTGTGTTGCAGCAAAGGTGTCAGGAGGCGGCCCAGGGAGGATGGGATGGATGCAGGAGAGGGAGACCCTCTGGTGCTCAGTGAAGGAGCGCTTGCCTAGCAGAGAAGAGTTGGGGGTGAAGTGGGAAGGTACTGAAAGGGGGCACTAAAGAGATGCATAGAGCAAGATGGCAAGAGGAGATGAGGGGACAAAGATGCGTCAGGCTAGAAGAGGCAGAAACGGAGAGTGCTAAAGAGAATGTGTTGAGCTGAGAGCAGAAGGAGGAGGTATGAGCTGCAAGAAAGAGAAGCAGAGGTGGGGAAATGGGAAGAGGCATCTGCAAGTCGAAGAAGAGAGGGAGTGGTCAGAAAATGGAGAGCAAGATGATCAGAGCTGGCCGCTGGGGTCACCTGTCCTTACAAAGCATCCAGGGAGAGTGACGGGAGCACCATTAACCTGCAGGCCCCCAGATTCCATGAGAAGACCATCTGGAGCAGGGACATTCCTGCCTAGAGCTGGCCCAGCAGCCAGGGCTTTGCTGGTGTCTCCTTATGATGGGGTTTCCTGCTGGTTCCTTGGCCCCACATTGAGATCCCTAAGGGGTTTTGTTTCTCTGTGCAGTAATCAGCAGTGAATCCAGTGAGGAGGAAGAGCCCCCAGCAGCTCTGAGCTCAGCACAAGGACGAGGGCTGGAGGAGGAGGGTGAGGATGGCGAGCTTTCGGCCGCGGACCATCAGGTGTCTGAATTCAGAGCCCCTGCTTCCTGACGCGTTGTACTTTGAGTGTGCTCTACAGCCAGTGGTCCTGTCAACACTGCGGACATATTCTCTGTATTTACCTCATGCGCCATTTTGGGAAATGTGGGAGACAAGGTCCTAGTCACTAAATATGTGTGTTGATATATAAAGGTTAGAGTAGAAACAAACTACCATATTTCTGTTTGTTTGTTTTTTCCTTTCACATGATCATGCCTCTTGTGGCATAAAAAAAAAAAATAGGTATTTGTCTTTGTCCCCAGTTCCTGGCACAGAGCTCCCCAAACCCTTGGAATTTTCCCAGTGGTAAGAGTGTCCCTATGACAATTAGAGGGTTAGAACTCGACCTCTGTGGAGAAAAAACAGGTGGGAGATGAAGTTCAATCACCAATGGCCCATGATTTAACCAATTACGCTTACACAATGAAACCTTGGTAAAAACCTCTGAACAATGGGGTTGGCAGCCCCTGACTTGGTAAATACATTGATGTGCTGGGAGGGTTGCATGCTGGAGAAGGTGTGGAAACCCTGGCACACCCCACCCCCATACCTCGCCTTATCCATCTCTTCCATTTGGCTGTTCTTGAGTTGTATTCTTTATAATAAAACTGTAATCATAAGTAGAGCACTTTCCTGAGTTCTGTGAGTCATTCTAGCAAATTATTGGACCTAAGGGGGCATCATGGGCACCCCCAAGTTTATAATTGGCTGGGCAGAAACATGGGTAGCTTGGAGACACCCCATTTGTAGCTGGTGTCTGAAGTGGGGTCAGTCATGTGGGACTGAGCCTTTGCCCTGTGTGGTCTGGGCTAACTCTGGGCAGTTAGTGTCAGAACCGAATTGAATTGTTCAACACCCAGTTGATGTTGAAGAGCTGGAGAATTGATTGGTGTTGGAATGACCTATTTATCATTGGAAAAGACACCACACAGTTGGTGTCAGAAAAAGGCCCACACACCTATTCATACTGATGTCTTCAATGTAGGTATTGATTTCTGCCTTAACTGACCTCTATCATCTGTAGATCACCAAAAAAGGTAAGTAATTTTTGATTGCTTTGATACATATATTGTTATTGGAAACTTGGAAAGACCCAAAAAGCTCAAATAAGTCTTTTTGACAGGTGTTCTCCATCATGCCATTAGCTTATATACAAACTTTTCCAAAAATAATTTGGGAAATATTATCTCATAATTTGAAAACATCAGTAAGGAGTAGGCAGAATAACTATTACCCTTATCCTTGTTTTGTAGATGAGAAAACTCTAGCCCATAACTGTTTAAGAGTCTTTCCCCAAATCATATGGAGGATTAAAGGCAGAGCCACGACCATTGTCCTGGATGCTCAGATCTCAATTCAGCAGATGTGTTTCCTTCAGAAGGAAGAAAGGGAAGAAAACCAATCAGACACATCTGCCAGTGTTAGTTGTTACAGGATTTATAACTTTTATCAAGCAGTTACTGTTTCTCTTTCATGAATTTTATGAACAAAACTAATTTGAAAATATGCACTAGGTGTAATAACAAATAACTTTGTTATTTGTTAAAATGCACATTTTTTCCCAACAAAAGATTCATTTTAATTGTTTGCTATATTTTTCGTAAGTAATAAAATTGAATTTATTTTTTTAGGGCGTTCCCACCATTTAACCAACGTGTAATGTCCTGAGCACTAGAAGTCTATTTATTATTCATGGAAACAATGCCAACAGGTTCTGGGCTGGCAAGGGGGTCGAGTGAGACTTGGGGCAAGCAGGGAGGAGGGGAGAGGGCTCTGATCCACATACTCTCTGGGATCCATCTTCCAGTGTTGCCCTGGGCAAGCAACAGAGGCAGAGGAAGTGTGTAGGGATTAGTTGGAAGGATAGGAAGTAGAAAAGAGAGGTGTCAGGAAAGCTAGAGCAAGATACAGAAAAACTGCCCAACTGCCCAATTTTCTCAGCTCCTGGTGATGGCAGCTAAAAACAGTGCTAGCCAAGGGGCTGTGTTGAATTCAAAGAACAGACCGGAGTGCCGGGAGTTTCATGACCTTCCCTGGTCTTTCATAGTTTTCCTAAGGACTTTCCTTCTCTGTTGGCTTCTTGGCCGCACACTAGCAGTCTGATTGCTCTGTAGAGAGAGCAGCAGTGCGTGGAAGGGAGGGCTGCAGAGGAGACCAGGAGCCTCAAGGTCACCACCTGGAATTATCAGTAGGATTCAAAGGGACTCTGGAGCTTTAAGGAACGGAGAGTCATATAGTTGGGAAAAAGGAATGTTCAACTAAGATTGCTAAATTAGATATACAACTGGTTAACTTTCCATAGAAGAATAAAAGAATACCACCGTTGCAGTTAACTTTTCTACCAGTCTAGAAAGTTATAACAGTGTATTAGTTCTGCAGTTTACCCCTAAGGTTACCAGCCTATTAATTGTCCAAGCCTCTATAAGTTATAAGTTGTTAATCAAATGTATTGTAATATTCTCCCTGAGTGGCAGATTAAGGTCAACCAGGCGATGAAGAAAAATTATCCACACTTGGCAATAAGGCAATAAAGCAAAGGGTTACATGTCCCAATTACATGTTAACTTACAGATTTTTGTCCAGTAGAGATGCATATGATTTGTTTGGTAGGAAAGATAATGCCAAAGATTGTGGGTTTATTGCCTTATTAACAAGTTTGGGCTCTAATTTAGGAAACTTATTTCAGCCAGCATGCCTTTCCTGGCCAACTTTATAAACCTCTCTTCCTTGAATTCTATGTTGGTGGATCACACACACTGCAATTAACAAGGAAATTCATTCATTTATTCAGAGAACATCAGTGACAACTATATGAAAACAAACGTTGGAAAAGAGAACCAGGAAGCTTCTAGCTCACCCCCAAGAATTGTGTCAGATATGGTGTACAAGTCTTGGGTTTGAGGATGCTAGGAATCTGAATTCAGAGCTACTTTTTCCTGATGCATTTTATTCTGAGGACCAAACACATGAAAATGAAACAGTGAATTAAAATCCCATTCTCTGCATTTTCTTTTCCTACTATGTGTGCAAAGACATAAGGAATCATTATAAATCATATTTAATAGTATGAGCACTGTTGATTGAATAGATGTGCTCATATTTTGATGTTGTAGAAATATGTTCATAAAATGAGAGCGTTTTGATTAGCTGTTCATGCCTATTTAATACTGAAGTCTTGAATTCATATGGTGTTTCCCACCCATTCTCTTCCACCTCTTTATCTTTTATGGAGCACAGAATGCTAAGTGCTCCTCTCCTGGGTAATAATATTGTTATCATTTGGTGAAAAATCTTGAAAAGCTCAGAAGTCCTGCTTTCTAATTACCTTCAAAAAGAAAAAAAAAAAAGGAGTCAGACAACCACTGGCAAAGTCAAGTTTTAGATTTTGATGGAAGTCTTCCAGCAAATTGTCCTGATTCAGTCAGTTTAAGAATCCCAGAGACAAACAAGCCTGTATTCCAACAGATTTATTGACTAATTACGACAAGGGAGAGGAACATACACTGGAGAACCATGGACATTGCACCAAATGAAGACATAGATAGAGTTATTATACAGTTTGGGAAAGGGTGGAGTTGAAGTATAATTTATAGGATGCAGTGATTTGATAGGTTCAAACCAAGCCGGAGTTGTGTGACGATCAGGTCTGGATTATGAAGTGGACCCAGGGTCCTATTGCTAGAAAACCACAAAGTTATGAAAACGTGGAATGTTGTCTTTGGAAATCCCAGATTGGAAGCTGTGCCCCCTGGATTGGAAATCAAGATTCCATCTCTTTACCAAAAGAACTTAGGCCCTCCAAGCAAGGGTGAGATGTTTTATCCTTGCCAATATCATTGCAAGCAGCAAGTTTCCGATAGTGTGTGGATTTTGGCAACAAAGTTCCTCAGTGAGTGAGGAAGCACTAGTCATTCAAAGAAGGGTGGTTAGGACATTTTACAGCTGTGGCAAGTTCTTAGGAGAATGTTTCCCATTAAACTTGCAGCTGGCTTTCTCTGTTTCTGTTATTCCAGCCTCATGAATGGCAGGGCAGATTTTTGCTATCTCAGACGGAGCTAATTTCTCCTTTCTCAATGCCATTGAGTATGTAGTGGTTTATCAAAGGACTTTGCAAAAAGAATCTTATTTTAACTTCACCACAATCATGAGGTGTAAGGCAAAACAAATGTCAATAGCTCTGTTTTAATACCTGAGGAAATCAAAGTACACACGTTTAAGGTTCTCCGCTCCTTCTTCTCTTTCCATAATGCCAAATAGCGAATTAAAAGAACAACTAGAATTACCATCCTTGATTTCTAGAACTCAATCCCATAGCTCTTCCTTTTCTTTAGAAAGGTAGAGAGAAATGATAATCAACATGTCTCAATCCTGACTGTGAATTGTGTGAAATGTCAAGATTTAGCACTTTTCAATGTACAAATTACTGTTTTCCTCTCATGTCTTATAGACCCCATGGATATTGGAACCACTTTTACTCTGTGCATACATGTTAGAAGAGAGGTATGTGCAAATCAGACTTCTTGGTATGCAAATGAATCTTTAACAACATTTCTACAAAACATTAAATCCAGTTGTTTGATGGATGATTCAAAAGTAGGATAATAAATTTAAAGAGTCCAGACTCATCTTTTTTATTAAAGAGGGCTATCTGTTATATGAGATAGAACCTGAACATTCATAATTGCTAAAAGAGAAGTTTCTTTTTTTCTTTTTTCTTTCTTTTTTTTTTTTAACTAGGCTCCACACCCAGCAGGAAAGCCCAGCTTGGGGCTTGAACTCACAATCCTGAGACCCTGAGATCCAGACCTGAGCTGAGATCAAGAGTCAGACATTTAACAGACTGAGCCACCAGGTGCCCCAAGAGAAGTTGTTTCTTGCTTGCACGAATGATCTCTGTGGTCTTCCAGGACATGACTAGAAGGAGGGGTATGGGGAGATTGGGTGTGGATCAGTGTCCATTCCGGTTTACAGAGGACAGGCAAAAGTGAGGTCATCAAAAAGACCAGCACTCCCACAGAATGTTCTTACTGATTTTATAAAGGGAATGTCCTCTGGGCTCATCTGGATGACAAGCCATATGGCATGTCTTCAGGCATGTCTTCATGTGATACACCCATGTGAACATTCCTACCTCTCTGAGTCTTTTGACCCCTTCTTTGGTACTATGCCAAGGCTTTTGGGGCATCTCCACCTCATTTGCTAAATGCCATCCTTTTGTCCAAGCTTCAGGGAGCCAGTTCGGTCATAGACAGGACCAGCCCCAGATGCCCTTGCCAGTGCCTTCTACACCCTGATCAGAGGAGAGGACTTCCATATCAATGGAGTCTCCATTCTCCAGTCTTATATTCTACCCTTCCAGGTCCTACATCCCAAAAACCCACTCCTATAAGTGTTTCTCTCTTGTTTCCAATATACATTAGCCAGTTCTTGCTAGGCTATTCTTATAGGCAATACACAACCCTTGAGTTTTAATGGCTTAGACAACAAAGTCTACTTTTGCTTACTCAAGTCACAGTGGATCTGGGAGCCCTCCTGGGGTGGTAGTGAATACACGTACCAGGCAGGGTCAATCTCTAGGCTCTGTTGTCTCAAAACAAGGCCTCTGTAATCAACGTGGCAGGAGAGATTACACAGAATTCTCACTGCCCTTCTGCGAATCAGCTTGCAAATGACATATACCACTTCTGACTATAGTTTATTGGTCAGTGTCTCAGTCATTTAGCCACACTTAATGCGAGTGGCTGGAAAAGTTAGGAGGATGTATGTGATATTTGGAGAACACTACTGTTTCTGCCATAAATAAAAACAGTAGGCTGAAAAGAACCCATTCTAGATAATAGCAAAAGAATAAAGCCACATTGCTGATTCCCCTTCATTCAACAAAGCAAACAAAAAGGAGTTAACATTTAAAAGGTAAATCTAAATGAAAAATATAACTCTATCAGGAGGTAAAGGATTAAAAATAGATGACACAATAGGAGAGATCTCCAAGAATAAAATACTTTGCTTGGTCAGTGATGAGAATTTTCTTTCTTTCTTTTTTTTTCAGAGCATCATTACCTCAGGACATAGACAAAGGTCTCTTTGGGAAGGTCTAAGAACCGTATCAATTTTGGTTTTTATGGCTTCTGTTTGAGTATCCAGCAACTAGCTAAGTAGACAACTAGAATTGCTTCCCTTTCCTTGAATTAACATTTCGAATACAGAATCCCTACTATGTGTAGCCACCATGATACATTCATGCATCTCTGACATGATTTTAAACACTTTACATAGGTTAATTTAATCTTCAAAATTACCCATTCCAACAACAAAATTTTATTATTGAATGACAAAGAGGTGTGTTGAAGACTTACCTTTGGAACCAGCTGGAGGCAATGATTCGTGAGGTCGAGGTATTTCCCTGAAGGGTGTAGCGCATGCTCTGAACCAGCTACCAATATGTTGAACTCTTTGTCAGGTACGCTAGCCAGAATATATTGGATCTGGGAAACCGTCAGGCAAGGCTGACTGATTTGGCTGGTAAAGAAATAATGTGCCCTTTTTAGATCAGACAGTTTATTACTCACATAAACAGCAAAAGCAGGAAGAGCAAAGGTGCCAGCTCCCCATGTCCTTTGTCCCATGGGGTGCCACCAAACGAGAGGGGACGTGGATGGCATTTGATGCAGCATGTGATGCAGCACACATTCATGCTGAAATGGAGCAGTTCCATAGCCTGCAGCTACCACCCAGAGAAAGAGGCAGAAGGCCTCACACCTCATCGGAACTTGCAATGTGAGGAGAGAGTGTGTCTTGATAAACCGTGGAAGATAAGGTTGTGACTGGGACAAGGTCTTGTCATAGTGCTTCACAAGTGTCCCATGCTCTGTGTTCTGGAAAGATTACAGGGCAGTCTGCCAAGACTTAGATCAAATCAGCTGCAGTTAAGTCTTGCCTATGTGGTCTATGTGGAGACTTGCAAGGTCACCAGGGCGCCACGGCAGAGCCATTTGCTAACAGAACCAAGAATTGTCGGAGATTTTAGTGCCCAAGTGAAGAATACTTCCATCTGCTGAACCAGTTATGATTCTGTGAGTTGAAAACTGGCTATGCTCTGCATCTATTACAAGCTTCCTGATGCCACTGGGTATGAGGCCAAAAAGGATACTATCCAGTATTCAGGAAGGTAATCAGTGACCATGATATATAAATAACAATAGTTTTCTATAAGAGCCAATAATTGGTAATAAAATATATCGTGGAGAAAGTTCACATTCACAATAGCAAGAAAAAATATTAACTGCCCGAGCATTAAAAAAAAGAAAAGAAAAGAAAGAAATGGCTAAGTCCTGTGTGGAGAGGGGAAAAGAGGAGAAAACTTAAAGGACCTAATAAAAGATTAAAATAAATGGAAGCACATAATACAATCCCTTATAGAAAGACCCGATATTTTCTACTGTAAATTTCATCCAAATTATTCAATAAGAGAACTTGACAAGATAATTTTATATTTTATTTAGAAAAATAAATGAACTAAAATGGCAACAAAAAAAAATTTGAAAAAGTTGTTTGCACAGCCACAGGCAGAATTGTCAGTTGGGGGGACCACAGACTCATCACATAGCTGCTGAAGGCTCTGTTGGGGTGAGGGGGAGAGCTACTTCATGAAAGAATGTGCTCCAACTGAGAACTATTCTCCCTTGTTTTCCTGAATTGCAAAAGTGTTTCTGAAACTATTCTCAAATATGGCCTGTAGCTGAAGTCCAAGCTTGATGAATTTCTGGTTGTCCTGAAAAAGCAAAGAGAAAAATGAGAAAGACCATAGCAACTGAGCTTAGGCTCTCCATGTTTCACGTAATCCAGAGCTTCATTTTAAACTATCCCAAATGTTAAGTGAGAATTAATACAGTCAAGAGTCTTATGGTCCCTGATAGCTTGATAATTTCTCTTTACCTGGAAGACAGAGATGTAAAAATAGTACTGTATTATAGTCTAATTCATCAGAAATGTATTGTTAATTTTTTAAAAATACCAGTTGCTTGATTTTCAAACACAGCACTTATGACTCGCAAGACTACAATGGTAGGGAACCAGTGGAGATAGGAAGATGTTCAGGTGTGAGAGGGAAGCTCCCTGTCCCAACATTCCTGAGGTCCTGGACGCCAGATGGCTGGTGCGCAGCAGCGCCAGCAAACTGCGCACGCGCGTACTCCACGCCCGCGCATCCAGTCTCTCAGCGGGCGCCTCTGGCTGAGTAAGGATAGGAACCCGGGGCAAAGGCGGAGACTTCTGGGACACACACAGAGCTACCCAGGTCCGGGGGAAAAAAAATGCGTTTCCATTTCTCGTGGAAGGAAATAGGTCTGCAGTCCACTGCTTTCTGTGGGTGAACACTGGGTATCTAGAAGTGGGCAAACCCTGAGGTCCTAAGGTAATGTCTGCAAAGAGACCTGGTTTGTTACTATTTCCCCACCTTAGACCACAGGGCTTTTAGAATACCCCCAGAATTTGCACTTGGGTAGGCTTGCCACAAGATGAGGGCAACTGTAACATTTACCTGATATAAGAGGATGAACGGCAAAGTGGCTTCATGGAAAGAAAGAGGGATGCAGAGGGAACCACTCACCTTGTAAAAAGCCCTGTGGTTCTGAAAGATGAGGCACATGTCCTGCACAAACCCCTCCACTTGGAGGTACAGTTTCCTATTCAGCTTTTTCTTGATTTTGTTTAACCACATGTGTCGCTTTAGGCCATGAGACGCGTCGTTACTCTGTTGACAAAGTGCGGAAGGGCAGACTGTGAGCACTGTTCCAAGTCTACCCCTTGTTACAGACCAAGCGCTTGTGTCCCCCCCCAAATTCCTATGTTGCAATCCTAACCCCCAATGTGATGGTATTAGGAGGTCCGGCCTTTGGGAGATAATTAGATTGTGAGCATGAGCCTCATGAATGGGGTTAGTGCCCTTATAAAAACAACCCCAGAGAGATCTCTTCTTCTCTTTCCACCATGTGAGGACACAAGAAGAAGTTGGCAGCCTGTAGGATCCCACTGGCACCCTGATCTCAGGCTTTCAGCCTCCAGAGCTGGGAGAAATATCTGCTGTTTGAGCCGCCCTGTCCACAGTACTTTGTGGTAGCAGCTTAAGTGGCCAAGGACTGAGTAAGCTGACTCAGATATCCATCAACGAGATGAAGATACTGACAAGTGACCCCATTGGACCCATATCACAAATTTGACAATGCCAGTTTCGGCTTTGTTGCCATTACTTACATAATGTGGTCTTGAGGCAAAAAAGAGGCTTTTTGAACAGCAGTAGACCTTCAAGAGGACAAATTCACATTTCTGCAAAAGACAGATGAGATTTTAAGTGAAAAGCAGCTTGGAGAGAATGAAGTGTACATGTGCTCAGACAGAATGCACAGCTCCCAAACCTGTGGCCTATGAAACAAACACGGAATGGGAATTTTCTTTGGAATACAGATTTTACTGTTAGGTCATGTGATCAAAGCACAGCAGGGGACAGCAGTTCGCCCGTGGGGACCATCCCTCCAGCCCCTGCAAGACTGTGCTGCTTCTCTCAAGTCAACAGAAAGGAGGAGACTTCAGGTTTATATTTCAACTCACCAACTGTTCCTCAGGCACCATCCGCCTCTTTAGGACCTCAGATACTTGGTGACATCGTTGGCTTTGTGGGTACCTTTGCTGAAGAGCCTTTATCCTGCAGAAGATGCAACTCCATGGGTCCCTGAGAGGTTGGGCATAAGGTCAGCAAAGGTAGGTTCTCCGTGATTCAGTCACTGTTTCTACAGCTGCTAAAGTCCTCTGTTCAGGAATGACTGATGGTTTCCACATTGTATCCAGCTTCTCTCTTGGACACTTCTCTGCGCTAGAGTCCCATTTGGGTACAATTGCCAGACACCCCTCCCATTAACAGTGGTAGCAGGATTGACAGTTTGTTGAGTGAGCTGCCATGGTGGGTGATGGTCTTTCATTCATCTCAAAACTTAAGAGTTCTTCTCTGAGCCACTGTGGACTCAGTAATGAGCCCTGCCTGTTAACATTTCCAATTGGTACCTTCAAGCACTGGAGTCTTGGGCCTCAGTGAGCCATCAGACCATAGTAAAAGGAAACCACCTCTTGTTTCTCAACTTTGCTGAGTAAGTACAGAGTTACAGACACCGTTTCCTCTGGCACTGCCATTACCTGGGCCTAGAATCTATGCTGCAGAAATTTCTTGGAAAGGAAAAATCTATGAACAGAGTAGTGTCAGACATCTGCCATTTGCCTTGAGATTCATTCTCCATTCTTCTCTGTGCTGAAGGGCTCTCGATAATCAAGTGGATACAGTGATCCTTCCTAGATATGTCACTTGCCTTTTTCCTTGGCTACTCCAGTGCTTGCCCGAGGGGCCCATTCCCGAGTACCCGTGGTGCGAGGATGGGGACTATACATGGGCTCAGCAATAGAGCAGGCCTGTCTTCTGCCTCTGCAGCTTGCCCAACTGCAGAGCTTTATGCAGAATCCCCAAGACGACACTATTCCCTGGGAACTACCTGGGAGCAGGTGGATTACACTAGACTCTCCCATTACCAAGGGGCAATGCTCTGTCTTCATAGGAATGGACACAATACCGATGGAAATCATCCATCCTCCCTGGTCACAGCAATTCTGCCTGCACTATCACTTACAGAATGCCTTATCAATCTCCATGTTATCCCTCATACCATCATCTCTGACCAAAGATATCTTTTAAGGCAAAGGAAATGTAGCATCAATGGCCATCAGAGGCTCATCACAGTCCCCAATTTGTCAACTTTTTGATGTTCCCATAGCAGGTGGTATATGCTTTAAACCAGCACCTAATGTATGGTGTAATCACCGCAACAAAGTACCTGGGTCTGGGAACCAAGTGGGGGATGTGAGGGTGACATCTCTTTCTAGTACAGCTAACAACAACTTGGAGAGTTTTTGCTTCCCATTAATCTGTTGCTGCTTGAACCATTAAACAACTCTGGATCATATTTCTGGATCCTGATACTTTAAGACTCTGCTCCCTTTGCATCAAGATACATACAACCAGAGACAAATTCTGCAGGCTGAGTGTGCATGGTTGGAGGAGCTGTGCCACAGGAAGGAACGGCAAAAGGGGACCAGGCTCACTAACCTGTTAGCATCTATAGGGTGGATGTGGCATTTCTCATGAAAGGACTTTGGACAAGTATCACAGCAGAACAGCTTTCCAGGTCCACGGCACACCTCACATATATTTGAGTTTCCCGGCTAGAAGGGGAGATAATGCAGACATCACTGGAATCAGTGAGACCCCAGAAGGTCGACACATTGGGACTCTAGAACGCATGACCTTTGCTTGTACCCAGGTGACACTTATAAATTTCTCTCCTCAAAATATTGAGTGAAGATTTTGGAAGAAGACATTCTGGTCTGCGGCAAAGTTTGGGAAGAAGTGGCTATTAGACCACTGAAGTTTTTTTTATGAAGATAGAGATTCTGACACAGACTAGCAACAACCACAAAAAGGATGAATTAAAGATAATCTGAGAAATTTGTTATTTTGCTGGCAAAACTTGGCTCAGGAATATAATACAGTGTTTTATCTAGTTATCTACATTGCATCATCTACATTGACTCACTGAAGAGTGATTTACCGAGAATTTAATATAAGAGATTACACTTCTGACATATCACTGCATCCTATTTTCTTGGCCATAAGTTCTCCATGATTTGAAGGGCCTGGGGAGGAGCTCCCGCACTATGGGCTCCGTGCCTGGAGGACCCCTGGGCCTGTGACAGTACCTGTGGGTTGGAAAGACGTAGACACAGATGATTAGGTGGATGCCAGGGAGGACAGAGCTCTTTGGCTCTGGGAGCCTGGGGGGAGATGTCCCATGGTTTAGCTCAGCAAGTAAGGTGTGGAGGTGCCATCCCCAAATGACCAGGGATTGTGGTAACAGTGACCACCACAACTGAAGGCCTAGGCCATACCCTCATTTTCTGAGGGCATTCAAGGCCTGGTGTTTTTGTAAATAAGGAAGGTGGAGGGACCCACAAAATTGGATGATGCTTGATTTTCCACCAATCGTAATATGTGGGACCTTTAGCCAGATTTAATTTCCTTTAGTGAAGTTAAACATTTGATAGTGTTTGTATCTAAGTGATTGTGGAGTAACAAACACATGTTAAAAACAACAGAATTAATAGACCAAAATAAATCTTGGTCAAGGAATGAGCCCGTTGATGGGTAAAAGAAATCACATTTTTTTCCTGTTGTGTGTGATAATCTATGTGGCAATAACATGTGAATCCATACATACTACAATTTCTATGTAAGAAGGTTGTGTGCCTGGGCTGGAGAAATGCCCAAAAGGATGAGGCACCTGGCCCCTCTCCTAGGACCACCTGAGCAGCAACAGAGCCAACTGAGGAAGACTATGTGATGGGGAAACATTTCATCCAATGGGTGGCAGCCCTACACCTAAATGAAAATATCCTGTTTATACCATGGGTTGGAAGAAGGATTTACATCCTCTTGTGACAATCTAGGTACGAAATAATGCACAGATTTGGGGGCTGGCCCACCCAGCGATGGGTGGTCGGGACTCTTGGTGGCAATGAGGAAGTGGGGAGGTGACAGGGAGCACCATTCCATCTCTTCCTTCTAGAAACACTCTTTATGCTTTGTTCCGTGATATTCTACTCTCTTGGATTTTTTTCTAAACCTCTGCTGCTTTTCCTTTTTTTTTTCAGATATCCAGTTCATCACCAGTCCTGCCGAACCCATTTTCCAAACCTCCCATCTCCTTCTCAGTGCTTCTGTGAGGCCTACAGCCACAAGGATGCAGATGCCTTACTTATTAGCCAAAGCACAGCAGCCTGCTTTTTAGGTTCTAAATCGTAGCAGTCAGAATGTCATGCCTGCACCCAGTGAGCTGATGTGAATTGGGACATATCTCAATTTGTAAATTCTTTTCATCTATAAATTCAATGTAAGAAGAAGGGCCACAAGAGTCACATGTAAGAGGAAATTCTAGGCTCCTGTATCTTGCCCATGCACTCCCTTTATTGAAAGGGAAAACTTAAGGAATGGCCTGGAAGGGACATCCCTGGACACATCCCCACCTGGGCCTGGCATGGGCCGTGTAAATATTTTTCTTTTTTTGTCATAACAGATGACACTCATAGATGCTGACCATTGCTGGGTGGAGGTTTCTAGACTATCATCTTATAAAAAGTGCACTGTAAGCAGGCCCTGAGAGAGAAGGAATAAACATGACAATCCCGTGTTGGAAGGTCCATAGTCTAGGAGCCCACAAACTCAACATAGATCTCTTTAATCTTTTTAGCAAGAAATTTGTCCTTTTGCTTGGCAGTGGTTCTCAACCTGCTATACGGTAGAATCACCTAGGGACCTTTAAAAAATTCTGATGCCCAAGGTCCCATCCTCAGAGATTCAATTAATTGCACATGATTTTGGTTGTTTGCTTCACCAGGGTGGGGGGGGGACATAGGCAGTATGTTTTAAACATTTCCCAGATGGTTTTAAGGTGCAGTCCTTAGTGGATTCTCTGGATTCTAAAGAATTCTTTAGAATCCTCTGGATTCTAAAGCAGTGGTTTTGGGGTGAGCAGGAGCAGCATCCACTGAATCTTGTTGGAAGAGTAAATTCTCAGACCCCATCCCTCACTGCCTGAATCAGAAGGCCAGGAGATTCAGATGAATACTACACTGTGGCCCACAGCTTTGGCTGTGGTGCATTGAAACCACCAGAGGAGCTTTGGAAAATCTTGACCCTCAGGCAGCACCTTAGAACACTAACATCCGAACCTCTGTGGGTGGGACCTCCAGCTGATTGCCGTGTGCAGCCAAGGTTGGAGGCCCAAGGTCTAGCAGGATTTCTCCCAGCAAAGTCTGGGAGCTGGGAGTAGAGTCATTATCAGCCTACGAAATCTGTCACAGAAAGTTTATGAAAAGGAGTGAGGACATTCTTGTTAGAAGAGTTGCCTTTTTATCTTCACAGAGGGCTTGGTTGTGAACTGTGAGAAATAACCCTCCATGTCCATTCCAGTTATCAGAAAAGTTGTGCAGACCCCAGAGATGAGAGCTACTCCACTGCTCAAGGGTCCCACCTCCAGCAGAGGAATCGAAGTCATGTGGCTGCATCTAGATCATGCTGGGCAATGCATTCGCTAGAAGAACAGAGGGCATGGCAACCCTTTTCTACCCTTCTCCATAAGCATCCCTTATCAGTACAGCTGCCCATCATTCAACAGTGAGAGCCCCCCCTGGAGTTGTGCAAAAAGGTGATTCAGCCCAAAATGTCCATCTTGTTGCAAAGAAAGCAATCAAAGTGTGATTTGGCTTAGAGGGAGGGGCCATCTGTGATGTTGGCAGACTTTAATGCAGGCAGACTTTAACAAGCAGGGCCTGTGGCATCAGAAGGGTCTGCACATAATCAAGCACTAGCCAAGCAGTTTGAGTAAAAATGTCTGTGATTTGCTATATGTTGATAGTTTCCGTCTTAGCCAGCTCAGCCCCCTGCTGGCTCCCTTGAGATGGGCTCCAGGGCCTCCATAAAGGACCCTGCAGATATTTCCCTGCATCACCCACTTGCCCTATGTACATTTCTCTGCAGAACTGGTGACAGAGTCCACCCCTGGACTTGCCAGCTTGGCTCAGCCTGTTCCTTCTCGCGGATGCTTCAACCATCTTAGCTCTCTGCCTCTGTCTTGGAGTGGATGTTTGTGATCTTCCTTTCCTTCCTTATCACCTTCTTCAGAATGCTGCTATTCTCTCAAATGTGTTCCTTACCCGTCATGTGCAGGCCAGCCTCGGCTATTACCACTTTAAGTCTTGGCTCTAGAGACCCCAGTGGTCTAGCGCTCCGCCTCCCATACTCACCCTCAAAGGGAAATAAGGAAACAGGAAAGTTTCCCTGAACAAATGGAAAGGGAGCTTTCATGCAGAAACACCAATTCCAAAATCATCTCGCTGGTGTGGGTGATATGTCCGTCTGCGGTTCTCTGCTCATCACACACAGTGACACACTCCAACTGAGTGTGATCACACTTCAGAGAAACGCAGCAATGATACAGGTCATGTAGGGAGGGACAAGGCCTGGATTATTCTGGGGTCACAGTTGGGGGAGTTAGTACTTACGTAAGGGTCAAAAAAGTCATTGCTGCTAGGCTCTGGTCTTGACTGCTGAAAAGAGAGAAAGATTGAGTGACTATATTGAATATGATTTTTCATTAACCACGCATTTGAGCAGATTTCTTTATGTAAAGGATTCATGCCACAGCCTTCCCTTTGCTTTATATCTGCATTTATGGGTCTATATATCTAATTGGAGAATAAAAAAGCATGACATTTTATGTCACTGACAGTTTGGCTCAATGCAAGCTCCATTCTCTGGCTGTCCGACTCAAGGCAGCCCTTTGTGAAGCCACACAGGGAGCCTGGTCCTGGATTCCACAAATAGAGTTGGAGCTGCAGTGAGGGAATCAGGCTGAGGACTGAATATCCACGAGCCCCAGTGACCGCAGCACCCAGAGTCCTGGACACCATGCAAGTGTCCCCGAGAACCCCACTGCCTTCTGCAGCTCGCCTAGGGCCTAACCTGAAAACAAAATGGATCTAAGGTCCCCAGTCCTGGCCCTCTTCTTCCTGAAGCTAAGCACCTCTCCACTTTCTTCTGAATCCCAAAAGCATGCACTGACCTTGGATATCTGTGGAATGACTTGGCCTCCTTCAGTCTGGAACAAAGGCTGACTCAGCTTCTACCTCCCACCCAGGCATTGAGGCCACAGATAAGCCACTCAGTGTGATCAAAAGCACGATGACCTGGGAGACAGCCACGCCACTGTCTGCCTCTCAGAGCGGCCTAGAACGCCCCATCCCTCCCCAATAGTTAGTGTCCCATGTTCGACAACGAAGTTGAAACAGTTCCTTGGGTCTGTCGCTTTGGCCTCCTGTGCACAGCCACTGGCCAAGCATATGCTTAGTGCTTAGTGTTTGCTCCACAGGTGTTTGTGGAGCAAACAAATGAACACAGCTGTCACTCAGGAGATGAGGTTTCTTAGCAGCCAGTAAATGATTAGCGTGGAGTTTTCTATCTTACTCTCTTGGAACACCTCAGCTATCACTATTGGGTTTAACAGGAATCTTATGAGCAGAGAAACTGCCAATAGCACCACCTGTCATTTGATGGCACCAGGGACAGAAGCCTAGGGGGCTGGGGAAGGAAAAGACCTTCTGGAGAGATGCTCTGAGAACGGAGGTAGTCACACCTTAAGAGTTGTAAGCCCTGAGGGAACTGAGAGATGGCATTTGTGATGAAGGGATGGGAGACGGCCAACTCAATTGACTAACCCAGACTGAGTTACCCTTGACTCCCTAGCACTGGGCAGAGATGTTTGCTCTTAATGAACAGAGCAAATAATGTGTCTTTCTCCAGAAAACCCAGTGGAGGCAGGCCCTCGTGACTGAGTCACTAGCATAAAGCAGTGGGGCGGGTAGCCCCAGAAACCAGCTTTGTGAAGGCTGTGACTTTTGGGTGCAGCAGAGATGGACCAAGGCCACCACAATTGGAGGTTAGAGAAATGGAAGCTCTTCCATCTCCTCTGTGTACCACACAGGTTTCTCTCTCACACCTGCTCTCGGAGAGGCCATGGAAGACACCAATTATCCCATCTCCTTCCTTGGAATCCATGCACCATGGAAACCACTGGTCCATGAACTCCACATGCGACTTGGAAGGAAAGAGAATTCACCTCCATAGATGGAACTGAGGTTTGCAAAGCCCCTCTGGTGAGGCCCGATGCTTTCCCGCAGACACCCAGCTCCAAAACCATCTCCCTGGTGTGGCCTCTCCATAAAGCAGAAGATCTTCCAGGTCAGCAGTGTCTCACCCCTGGCACATCAGCCTTCCAGTCTCTCTATTCTCAAAGGTGGTATCTCCATAAAGGAAATGAACGGTCCTTTAAAGAAGGATCCAAGAAGGACTCAGTGTGAATGTGCGTGTGTGCATGTGAAGGAGACGAAAGATACAAAAGAAAGGGAGAGAATGTGATTTGGGTTGTTTGCTTCGCCAGGTGACACACGGCTATTATCCATCCCAAGAGGGTGAGACATTGGCAGAAAGTCATGTGATAATTACCTTTCTTATTCTTCTTCTTGGAGGGTCTGGTAGATATTTATTCTGAAAGAGAAATGAGATGAATGCTATGATGGGTCCTGGTTTCTACTCCGTGAGCTTGGTATTTCCAACCACCCTCCAGATATGTCCCACTGTCAACACAAATTCAAAGTACCTTCATGGAAAATAATGTCCCTCTCCAAATCTGAAACACACGGCTCTCTCTTACCCAGACTCAGCTTTAAGGTAAGCTTTGAAAACTGCATCCTCTCTTGCTTTCCTCCTAGCCTTGCCAGGTTTTCCTTCACAGTGTCTTCTATACCCACTGCTTCCTTTCCATTCCCCAGGGCCCCTCTAGCTTGTGTGTTTATACCTCACATGCTAGAGCTACCCACTGCCACGTAATCTGGGGCGTGACAGACAGGGTGCAGGCCCCATCAGTGGCCCTGGGCACACGAAGTTGTCTAGGCCGTTGGGGAGACAAGTAAGATGAGCCTTATAGGATGGGTAAGGATGATAAAGTGTAAACCCTGCTCTCATGGAGTATTTTGGGATCCAGAGACAGGTGACTATGGTAGGCTGAATAATGGCCCCCAAAGATGGTCAGATTCCAACCCCCAGCCTTCTGAATATGTTAACTTAAGTGGTAAAAATGACTCTACAGTCATTTTTAATTAAATTAAGGACCTTGCAATGGGGAGATCATTCTGATTATCTCTGTGGGGCCAATGTAATGACAAGCATCCTTTTGCCAGGAAGCCAAGAGGATCAGAGTGAGAAGTAGGAGATGTAATGACAGAACACACTGGAGTGATGCCAGGAGTGGTGCCAGGAAGGGTCTCAAGGCAAGGAACGCAGGCAGCTTCCAGAAGCTGAAACAGGCAAGGAACAAATTCTCCCTGGAAGCCTCCAGGGAGAACCAGTCCTGCTGACACTTTGACTTGAGCCCAGTGAAATTGATTTCAGACTTCTAGCCTCCAGACCTGTTAAGATAATGGATTTGCATGGTTTTAAGCCACCCCGGGTTGTAAAGAGGTGTTAGAGCAGCGACAGGCAACAGGTGTGGTGAGAATGTGCTGTTTGAGCTGGGCCTTGTGGGCTGAGCAGGGGTGGATCAGGCACAGAGGTGGTGAAGGTCATGTGAAGTCTTCATGGCTGCCAGCACTCCACCCTCCAACCCATCCTGCATTCTCTGATCAGATTAATACTTCTAAAGTGGTGTTTCACCTGTATTAGTCAGCCCCTAACCCATAACCCTCCCACGATCCCCCCATGATTAAAGGAAGGGTCCAGACTCCTTCCTCCAGCCTCCAAAGTCCAAGACCCCCACCTCTTCATTTAAATTACTTTCCTGTGACCACATTACACAGTGGCAATGATTCATGGCCCCATCAGAGACACAGTTTCCTGTCCAACCTTCAAAAGGATAAGAGTTCATGCATTTAGAGGATTAAGCTGTACTATAAAGCAGCCAAGATGTTTCTGAGTGCAATGTTAGTAACACATGCATTGTGACCTGGGCAAGGGCATCGTGAGAGTCTTCTGGACACTGAGAAATTCTGCTAATGCTTGGAGCTGGTGAACAGTGACACTAAACCCTGCATGTAAGCCACTTATCATTGGGATACCTTAATCAGGTCTTTCAGGGGGAATCCACCACATCTCACACTCATCTTCCAGTTCTTGGACCGTGAGTAGTTTCCTTCAACTTCAAATTCCCTGAAGGTAAACCATCTTCCATCCTCACCCTTTATACACTTCTCTGAGGTTCCTGTGAGACCAAAACAAGGAGTTGCCAGGGAGTGTCCCCCACCAACCGGAGAACCGGTGGCCTTCACCATGGACCTGAGCCACCTGTCCTGGGCTCAGAATCTACAGCAGGAAAACTGAGATGGCTCTCAGTAGCCTCCCAAGCAGCCCAGAAGGCAAGGGCAGGACAGGACTTCCTGTCCTGCGTGCACACGTCTTTGGCTTTTGTTTAACGAGGACAATAATTAGCACCAACGTTTATTTTTAAAAAATATTTCGCTATATTCAAAAGAGGAAAAACTGAATGGCTCCGAAGATGAATGAGCAGGATTCTTTTCCTCCCCTTCTCTGAGAGCCAGGCTGAGTTTCAGAGGGGGCAGATGAAGCCACACGGGGGGCCGTGCAGAAGCTGTCACCACAGCCGCACCTGCCTCCTCTTGTACAACGTTGGTCATCCAGCCGAGGGCAATCAATTATTTCTCATATTTTGGGGCCGCCTGTGTGGCTCAGTCAGTTGAGCATCTGACTCTTGATTTCAACTCAGGTCAGGATCTCAGGCTGGTGAGATCGAGCCCCGCACTGGGCTCCGCACTGGGCGTGGAGCCTGCTTGGGATTCTCTCTCTCCCTCTCCCTCTGCCCCTTCCTCCTCTATCTCTCTCCCTCTCTCTCTCTCTCTCTCCAAAAAAATTATTTCTCATATTTTGGACTCATAACTACTCTATGGGAAAAGTGATTATGGAAATGTCATCAAGTGGGAAAAGTTAAATTATACATCTAAAATATGGTCACGGGGCAAACATTGATACATGTTGGTCCCTAAAGAACTATATTTGGGTGGGGGAATCAATTATGACAGATGAACATTTGTACTGTGCTCTAACAGTTATGATTTGCCAAGTATTTTATATCTGCCATCTCATTTCCCCCCCTCAGAATAACACGGTGAGGCAAGTTTTATTATTATGCCCATTTTGTTCGGGAGGAAGGTCAGGGTAAGAGAGACTGGCAATTTGGTCTAGATGGAACAGACCCTCATGGTATCACTGGAACTTGAATCCAGGTCCTCTAATTCTAAATCCTGGGCTCCTCCCCATTAGCATAAGGCCATACAGATGTTAAGGGGAATGGGGTTGTGAAGGTTATAGCCAGATTTCCCAAATGTGTACATATTCCACCCTGATATTGAAGTACTTGGTCTCGCATTGGGTGCTGGGTGGGCATCCTGTGGACATTTTCCATGGGGAAAGGAGAGATGTCCTCTTGTGTTTATTAATTGTAAGCGTGGAAATGCCATCTTTCCTCCAGCTTATCTGGGATGCTGTACAGAAAAGAGCTAATGGGTCAGACCAGAGGCTGCTATCTTTAGAAAGGTCTGCTTACAAGGTTGGCTCTTGGCTGGCATTGGGGAACTTGCATTTGGGCAGGGGTCTCACGATTCCCAGACCTTTAAAGAGTGTCTCACTGTCCTAAGCTGTTTACATAAACAATATAAATGGTTTATGCTGAACACCTGCTCTCCTTCTGGGAGTCTGAAATTTTGGCGTGTGCTAGGCAGAGGACACCTACGTGACTAATCCCTGATAAAAACCTGGACTCCAAGGCTGGGGGCCGTCTCTCTGGTAGACGGCATTTCACATGTGTTGCTACAATTCATTGCTAGAGAATTAAGTGTGTTCTGTGTGACTCTATCGGGAGAGACTCTTGGACACTGGCACCTGGTTTCCTTTGGACTTTGTCCTGTGTGTCTTTTCCTTCCCTGATTTTGCTTTGTACCCTTTTTAATCTAATAAATCATCACCATGAGTTCACTATATGCAGACTCCTGTGAGTCCTCCTAGTGAATCACCAAACCTAGGGATGGTCTTGGGAGACCCCCGACACAGGCGTCTACCCCCTGAATAATATATTATTCACATGGGTATTTTCCAGTTGAAAAGCATAGAAGATCATGAAATCCACCTTGTTTCATTTTCTCCTTATATAAAATCCCCTTTGCCTCTCCACAGGTCACGGGAAGTTCCGGAAGGCAAAAATTCATACGTGTATCTCTGGGAATTCTTGGACCTGCAAAGAAGCATTATTTTTTCATTCCATCTTTCTCTACAACTATGCACTGTTTTGACCTCATCCATCTTGAGATCTTTCTTTTATCATTTAAAATGTATGGGAGGGCTTTTCCCCATGAACTCATTACCCTTCTAGGTCTTTCTTCTATGGCAGATTAGGAGCACAAAGATAATGTCATTCTGCAAAACCCTACATTAAAAGCTTTGTGTGGAGGTGTCTGAATCTCCAAGTTTGTTGACCACAACTCCCCATTGTGCAATGATTTCCTCCCGCCGTATTATTGCTTTGAAGTTATGTAGCTGGAGATAAAAACCTCAACTTTTAGTTTTGTTTCCCTGCTTGAGGAATCAGCTCAGGGACAGAAAGCAAGATTGCAATGGGGCACCTAGCAGGGGCGGTGTCTCTCTTCTCTCCTTGCTCTCTGCTTTTTGCACTTCTTCATGTGAGCTTTCTCTGCGGCTAAAAGGGAAACTCAAGGTAGAGTATGCTAGAAATGCAAATTACTCAGGGAGGGGACCTCTGCACATCCTTTGGGTGGGGGTACTGAGTTCTGATGCTGCTGAAGCAGGCGTTGCAAGTCTAAAAATGAACTTCAGAAGCAGGAGCATCTTGCTCCTGCCCTTCTGACCAACACTTAGGGGGATTCATTAAAGACAAATGCTGGGGCTTCTCTATGGAATGGGAAGGGTGGGTGGCCGTGGTCCTTCCAGAGTTATTCTGTTAGAGCTGGGGTGGGCCTAGAAGGTCACTCAGTCTAATTCACCTGCCCATTTACAGAGAAGGAAAATGAGGCAAAAAAAAAAAACCAAACAAACCCACAAATGATAATCCAAAGTCACACAACCAAAGGAAGTTTGGGAATTAGGACATGGGTCTTGTATTACCACCGAGGGTCCCCCTTGATGGGCAACCTATGGCTCTCTATGTGGGCAAGAGAAGGGTCAGCTAAATATCATGAGAGTCATAACCTTTATATTTTTTTCTTTATATTTCCTTCCTCAAAAGTTATCAGTGTAGTCAAATAAGCCCTGTACAGGCCCAAGGAGGCCTGGGGTCTCTCAGATCAACTGGCTAATCAATGGAGTGGGTGTTATACCATCTTGTCTTGCTGTTGAAATTAACCAAGGCCAATGAATAGCCTAACATTTGTTACTTGTTCTAAAAGCCAATTAAGAAAATTGATTGATCACTCAAAACACAGAGTATAAAATAAGAATTTAGAGACTTAATTATTAAAAGTATATTATTTACTTCCTTTTACCTCTTTTTCTGCCTCTTCTCAAAGACCCGGAGATGACCGTTTTTCTCCCTGAGAAAGTAAAAAAATAACACAGATGTTTGTGTTTATAAAATTACATTGCAAACACCATTCAAATGTAATTTTTCAGAAGCCTGTCTAGTACTTCAAGAAAAATGGCAAATGTGTGAATGAATCAGAAGTCAGGAACTTTTTCCTATAAACTGACAGTAAATACTTAAGGTACATAATTGCTGTTGTGACTATTCAAATCTGCTTTTGTATTATGAAACCATCCATAGATAATATGGAAATGAAAAGATGTGGCTGTGTTCCAATAAAAGTTTATTTACAAATAGTCAGTGGGCTGGATTTGTCCTGTGGGCCATAGTTTGCTGAACCCTGGCCTAGACTTAATTACAAAGATGATACTTAACTGAGATTCACCCTATATTTCTTTTACTATTATCTCCAAATAAATTTGGGAAACTGTGTTTTGTAGATTTCCGAAGCAACTCTGTAAGTATACTGAAGTTAGACATCTATTGAGTGCTTCTTGTGTGTCAAGAACTATTCTTAGACCTTGCCTCTGTTAACTTACTTCATCCTTAGAACAAATTATCAAACAGGAACTAATACCATCCTCATTTTACAGATGAGAAAGTCAAAGCTCACAGATAAAAATTCTGATTAAATGAAGGTCCTGAAGATTTCCTTTAATAAAGAGACAGACATAAAAGGTGGTAATACAGGGTTCCGAGGGAGATTTTATGGTGGATTCTACAGGTCAGATAGCTGCCCAAAACGCTAAACCTGAAAGAAGATATTTGTGCTGAAAGTGGTGGCAAAAACGAGCAAGGAGGTCAAAACTATATGAGGCTGAGATGGGCCTTGGAGGGCAGTCAAGCTATTATTATTTATCTCACTTTATAGATGAGTAAACCGAGGCAGAAGAGGTAAAGTGACACTCTCGAGTCCACACGATCACCTCAAGGTCATGGGACATGAGGAAGGACAGCTACATCACTTGTGAATTACACAGTGTTTCACAGCTACAACTACTTCCAGCCCTGAAAGTTATCAGTTCGGCAGAAGCAGCACTGCAGTGGCACTTGGGCCCCAGGTCTGGTTGCAGATTCATCACCAAATCACTTTTTTGTGGTATTATCATCTTTCTCTCCCTGTTACATTTTGGAAATTGACTACATCTGATATATTTCTCAACAGTACAGCTACATAAAGCAATACAGAAGTAGGTTTGTTACTAAAAACGTAGAATAAAGCATGAGAACTTAGACATTTAGTTACTGAAAATGGAAAATGTATACTTTTTTAAATTAATTTTTATTTTCTTTTTACCTTTTGGTTTGCCTCTGTTCCATAGGGCTCTGTTACTCAGAGTTTGGATTTTATGTCTGCCTCTCCTTCTCACTGAGAAAACAAAAAATAAAATATAAAATATAAAAACGATGCTGCCGACATGCTACTAAACAACCAATGAGTCAATGAAGAAATCAAAGAAGAAATAAAAAAATATATAGAAACAAATGAAAATGAAAACACAACAGTCCAAAATCCTTGGGACACAGCAAAAGCAGTTCTAAGAGGGAAATTTATAGTGATACAAGAATACCTCAGGAAACAAGAAAAATCTCAAATACATAATCTAACCTTATACCTAATAGAACTAGAAAAAGAACAAATAAATCCCAAGGTTAGTAGAAGGAAAGAAATAATAAAGATCAGACCAGAGATAAATGAAATAGAAACAAACAAACAAACATAGAAAATACCAAGGAAACAAAGAGATAGTTCTTTGGAAAAATAAACAAAATTAACGAACTTTTAGCCAGACTCATCAAGAGAAAAAGAGAGAGGAAACAAAATCAGAAATGAAAGAGGAGAAATAAGAACCAATACCACAGAAATGCAAAGGATTGTAAGAGACTGCTATGAAAATTTATATGCTAACACATCGGACAATCTGCAAGAAATGGATAGATTCCTAGAAACATACACAATCTTCCAAAATTGAATTAGGAAGAAATAGAAAATCCAAACCAATTACTAGTAATGGAATTGAATTGACAATCAAAACTCCCAACAACCATAAGTCCAGGACCAGTTGGATTCACAGGTGAACTCTACCAAACATTTAGAGAAGAGTTAATACCTGTTCTTCTCAAACTATTTCAAAAAATTAGAAGAGGAAGGAAAGCTTCCAGATACATTCTATTAGACCAGCATTACCCTGATACCAAAACAAGACAAAGACTACAAAAAAAAAAAAAAGAAAGAAAGAAAAAAGAAAAGAAAAGAAAGAGAACTATAGGTCAGTATCCCTGATGAACAAAGATGCAAAAATCCTTAAAAAATATTAGCAAACTGCATTCAACAATACATTAAAAAGATCACTCACCCACAACGAAGTGGAATTTATTCTAGAAATGCAAGGATGATTCAATATTTGCCAGTCAATCAATGTGATACACGACATCAACAGAATGAAAGATAAAAATCAATCTATGAAAATACCAACAACATTTTTCACAGAATTAGAACAAATAATACTAGAATTTATAGGGAACCACAAAGACCCCAAATAGCCAAAGCAGTCTTGAGAAAAAACAAGGCTAGAGGCATCATACTCCCAGATTTCAAAATATATTACAAATCTGTAGTAATCAAAACAGTATGGTATTGGCAAAAAAAGAGACACACAGATCAATGGAACAGACTAAAGAGCCCAGAAATAAACTCACACTTATATGGTCAATTAACTTATGACAAAGGAGGGAAGAATATACAATGAGGAAAAGACAGTCTCTTCAACAAATGGTGCTGGGAAAACTGGACATGCAAAGGAATGAAACTGGACCACTTTGTTGTACTATACACAAAAATAAACTCAAAATGGATTAAAGACCTAAAGGTGAGACCTGAAAACATAAAAATCCTAGAAGAAAAGACAGGCAGTGACCTCTTTGACATCAGCCTCAGGAACATTTTTCTGATCTGACTCCTCAGGTGAGGGAAATAAAAGCAAAATAAACTATTAGGCCCACACCAAAATAAAAACTTGTGCACAGTGAAGGAAAAATATCAACAAAATGAAAAGGCAACCTACTGAATGAGAGAAAATATTCACAGATGATATATATCCAATAAAGGGTAAATATCCAAAATATATAAAGAACTTATACAACTCAACATTTAAAAAATTGGTTGAAAAAGGGTAGAGGATGTGAACATTTTTTCCAATGAAAACATACAGTTGGCCAACAGACACATGAAAAGATGTTCAACATCACTCATCATCAGGGAAATTCAAATCCAAACCACAATGAGATACCATCTTATACCTGTCAGAATGGCTAGAATCAAAAGGACAAGAAATAAAAAGTGTTGGGGAGGCTGGGGGCGGAGCAAGATGGCGGAGGAGCAGGAGACCTGGATTTCGTCTGGTCCCAGGAATTCAGCTGAATAGGGATCAAACCATTCTGAACACCTACAAACTCAAGAGGAGATCGAAAAAAAGAAGAGCAGCAACTCTCTGAACAGAAAAGCGACCACTTTCTGGAAGGTAGGGCGTGCGGAGAAGTGAATCCGAGGCGATATTCGGGAGGATAGACGGCGGGGGAGGGGGCCTCCGGCGGCCGCTTCTGGCAAGTGCTAGAGCCGCGGAGCACAAAACAGGAACTTTTAGAAGCCGGCTCTGCGGAGGGACGTCACTCCAGTGGCTAAGCGGGGGGTGGAATCCTCCCGGGACAGTGTGATCTCAGGACCCTCGGGGTCACAGAAAGACCAGGGGTGCCTGAGTGCGGCAGAGCTCCCAGGGATCGGAGCGGGGAAGCCGGCTGCAGAGACGGAGCCGAGGCGCGGGCTCTCAGCTCAGGGTTGCCATAAACTGTGATCCGCGGCCCAGTCGGGCCACTGCTCCTCCAGCAGGGACCCAACAAGCGGCAGAGCCGGGGAGATTCCCCTCCCTCCCCCGGGGAGGAGCGGCGCAGAAGCGCACCGCAGGGATCTGCTGGGTTTGGAGACTCCACACGGGGTCGGGCGCCAGAGATAGAAACGCTCGGTCACAGGCCAGGCCGGGTGAGCACAGAGTGCAGCTGGAGACCGGGGAGATGGCAGTGACTGACTGCCTTTCTCTGGGGGCGCACTGAGGAGCGGGGCCCCGAGTTCTCAGCTCCTCTGGGCGGAGATTGGGAGGCCACCATTTTCACTCTCATCCTCCAAAGCTGTACCGAGAGCTTGCAGGGAACAAAAGCTCCTGAGAGCAAACCCGAGCAGCTTGCTTAGCCCGGACCGACAAGGGCAGGGCAATTCTGCCTCCGGCAAAGACACTTGGGAACCACGGCAACAGGCCCCTTCCCCAGAAGATCAGCACGAACAGCCAGCAAGCCAAGACCAAGTTTACCGATCAATGAAGACGGCAGAACTCCAGCACTAGGGGAATACTGCACATAGAATTCATGGCTTTTCCCCATGATTCTTTAGCCTTTCAAAGTTAATTTTTTTTCTGATTTTTTCTTTTTCCCTTTTTCAACCAACATCTTATCAATCCTTTTTTTTAAAAAAATCTTTTTTATTTTTCATTTTTAGAGTCATATTCTATCCCTTCATAGTAGTTACCCTTATTTTTGGTATATATATATATATAAGTTGTTCTCTCTTTAAAATTTTGGGATACAGTTTCTTCTAACAGATCAAAATATACCCTAAATCTCTAGTGTATGGCTTTGTTCTAGTCTCCTGCCTGATCACAGTCTCTCCCTTTTTTTTTATCCACTTCTTTCTTTTTTCAACCAACATCTTATCAATTCTTTTTATAAAATTTTTATAATTTTCATCTTTACAGTCATATTCCATCCCTTTATCATATTAACCCTTATTTTTGTACATATATAAGTTTTTCTTTCTTTAAAATTTTGGGAGGCACTTTCTTCTAACAGACCAAAATACACCCAAAATCTAGTGTGTGGCACTGATCCACCAGGCTGATCATATTTGATCATATTCTGTTTTTTTGTTTGTTTTGGTTCTGTTTGTTTGTTTTATCTTTTTCTTTTCCTTTTTTCTTCTTTTTTTCGTTCTTTCCCTTTCTTTCCCCCCGGTTTCAGGTCTTTTCTGATTTGTTTAGAGTATATTTTTGTTCTCTCATTCATCTATTCTCCTCTGGACAAAATGACAAGACAGAAAAAATCACCTCAACAAAAAGAACAAGAGGCAGTACCGACTGCCAGGGACCTAATCAATATGGACATTAGTAAGATGTCGGAACTAGAGTTCAGAATGATGATTTTAAAGATACTAGCTGGGCTTGAAAAAAGCGTTGAAGTTATTAGAGAAACCCTTTCTGGAGAAATAAAAGAACTAAAATCTAACCAAGTCGAAATCAAAAAGACTATTAATGAGGTGCAATAAAAAATGGAGGCTCTAACTGCTAGGATAAATGAGGCAGAAGAGAGAATTAGTGATATAGAAGACCAAATGATGGAAAATAAAGAAGCTGAGAAAAAGAGATAAACAACTACTGGATCACGAGGGCAGAATTTGAGAGATAAGTGATACGATAAGATGAAACAACATTAGAATAATTGGGATCCCAGAAGAAGAAGAAAGAGAGAGAGGGACAGAAGGTATATTGGAGCAAATTATTGCAGAGGACTTCCCTAATTTGGGGAAGGAAACAGGCATCAAAAGCTAGGAGGCACAGAGAACCCCGCTCAAAATCAATAAAAATAGGTCAACACCCCGACAACTAATAGTAAAATTTACGAGTCTCAGAGACAAAGAGAAAATCCTGAAAGCAGCTCAGGAGAAGAGATCTGTAACCTACAATGGTAGAAACATTAGATTGGCAACAGACCTATCCACAGAGACCTGGCAGGCCAGAAAGGACTGGCATGATATCTTCAGAGTACTAAACGAGAAAAATATGCAGCCAAGAATACTATATCCAGCTAGGCTGTCATTGAAAATAGAAGGAGAGATAAAAAGCTTCCAGGACAAACAAAAACTAAAGGAATTTGCAAACACAAAACCAGCCCTACAAGAAATATTGAAAGGAGTCCTCTAAGCAAAGAGAGAACCTAAAAGTAACATAGACCAGAAAGGAACAGAGACAATATACAGTAACAGTCACCTTACGGGCAATACAATGGCACTACATTCATATCTTTCAATAGTTACCCTGAATGTAGATGGGCTAAATGCCCCAATCAAAAGACACAGGCGATCAGATTGGATAAAAAAACAAGACCTATCAATATGCTGTCTGCAGGAGACTCATTTTAGACCCAAAGACACCCCCAGATTGAAAGTGAGGGGGTGGAAAACTATTTACCATGCTAATGGACACCAAAAGAAAGCTGGGGTGGCAATCCTTATATCAGACAAATTAGATTTTAAACCAAAGACTGTAA